GAATAGTACAGTGTGGTATATTGTAATTTGGTAACATTACAGTGTAATGAATAGTACAGTGTGGTATATTCTAATTTGGTAACATTACAGTGTAATGAATAGTACAGTGTGGTATATTCTAATTTGGTAACATTACTGTGTAATGAATAGTACATTGTGTTATATTCTAATTTGGTAACATTACAGTGTAATGAATGGTATAGTATGGTATATTCTAATTTGGTAACATTACTGTGTAATGAATAGTATAGTGTGGTATATTCTCATTTGGTATCATTACAGTGTAATGAATAGTACAGTGTGGTATATTCTAATTTGATAACATTACAGTGTAATGAATAGTACAGTGTGGTATATTGTAATTTGGTAACATTACAGTGTAATGTATAGTGTGGTATATTGTAATTTGGTAACATTACAGTGTAATGAATAGTACAGTGTGGTGTATTCTAATTTGGTAACATTACAGTGTAATGAATAGTACAGTGTGGTATATTGTAATTTGGTAACATTACAGTGTAATGAATAGTACAGTGTGGTATATTCTAATTCGGTAATATTACAGTGTAATGAATGGTACAGTGTGGTATATTCTAATTCGGTATCATTACAGTGTAATTGTGGCCATAATTGTGGTATATTCTGAACGTTCGTTGACGCGATTGTTATACGTGTATTTGAGTAGCGCCGCCAACGGCCAGAACGCATGTTTTCAACGCCCTCAGCGTTGGAATTGGGGCAGGGGACCAGACTAGTTTTCATATGAATACGGAAGTGTTGTGGTACCGGTAATTTCCCGTGGTAGTTTCTTTTTGTGCTTTTTTTTTGAATCTCTATCAAAAATCGTAACTTGAAGTGAAAATAAATGTATTTGTGCTACACTCAGCGGGCGTTGCAATTTTGACCTCAGCATTGGCGTACGTGAAATATCACTTTCTCTCTATTTGACGGCGTTGCCCCGGCGGTGCTTTATATTTGTCGACCGGTTTCAGAATTTGTCAGTGTTTGGTCGTCTTCTCGCCGAATTTAATCTGAACCTTTACCAAAGACAGCAGTATTAATTGCTAACCAATCGTATTATGGTGTTTTGAGGTCATGTTGAAGGTTCCAGTGTATTTTCTTTATTCGTCCTCATTTCTACGTTGAAGGGCGGTGGTTGTCGCACCGCGTCCTGTTCGACATGGGACTCTTAGCAACGTACACAACGCGTGTTTATTTACAGGAAATTCGGACACGCGCTCTGCGACGACCACCGCCCTTTAACGTACACGGTGATATGTGTCCTGTACACGATACACTTTTTTTTCTTGTTCCCGAATTCCTTACTCTGAGATTTCGTGTTATGAGCATTTTTATAAAGAGTCGTTACGAGTCCCACGCAACGATAACAACACACGCAAAACGCAAAGGCTCATGGGTAGACATTTGTTAGTAAACAATGACACGCTATGGC